TATATGATATAAGATGTGTGTATTCGTTACTGTATCCGAAAACTATGGGTATATTAATGGGGTTGCAAAACTCCACCCAAATAAATATGAACTTGGTATAAATTTGGATATTTCGAAATGAGAAAGGGGATGAGCTGATATAGGGAAATCAGCTTGGGCTTGACAAGGCCCGGCTGTCTGGTAACATAATCCCTTGGGGTGCCTGCCAAGGGCCCGAAATGGAAACAGATTAGTCAAAGGATAATGGCAAATTTAACATTGGTAAAAACCCTAAAGCGATTTGATTATAATTCAATTCATGACGATCATAAGTAGAAAGCTCATATTCTTCGGTCATTGATAAGCAATTCGTTGGACAATACTCAACGCAATTTCCACAAAAAAATACAAATTCCAAAATCAATATTGTAATTAAGTAACTGTTTCTTTCGAATGTCAGTTTCTAGATTTCAATCAACAACGGGTAAATTTATCTATTTATGAGAGAGAGTTGGCTGAACATGAAGGGGACATGACACTGCGATGGATTGGTCTATCCGTTCAGGGAAATTAATAAAATGAATTAGGGTACTTGGATGCTGACACTAGCACCAGTACTTAACGTAGAAACATAGTACATATTGCATGCTATTGTCCCCTTGCCATTAATGACAGCTTCTCTCCTTCCTCGTAATTAATTGGATTAGCAACAGCCTTTGAACCGTTTTCTGTAAATGTCTGAATGATATAAGTCGACGAGGATTCGGCTCGGTTTTGGTTCCTAGAACTCACCGATGGGAAAGAATGATAGTGAGGATTGAAGAACCTCATCAATTTGATTTTGGCATTTTGGCATGGTGCAGCTGTACCGGGCACCGGTTCGTGTTAAGACGGTACAATACGATTAGAGCACATGCAGTACGAGTACGTGCACGAAATATATGGACCAATTCGGTAAGAGCACGAATAATTTGTGGGTCGTGTCGGTTCTAAATTTTATGGGCATGAGCACTGACACGATACTGCTATAAGTGGGTCATGTCGGGACTAATATTTTTTAGACTCTATTGACTATTGTGTATAAGGCTATAAAAGCACAACAAGACATTAAAAAAACATCTTTGACATGAAATAACCAAAAAAGAATTATACGTTCAAATATTACAATATACAACTGCAAAAATAATTATTTATTATCGTTAGAAGTGATCATATAGATATATATATGTAATTACTATCATAAGTACAAAAGGTCGATGAATTAAACAAAGTGAAATTACACTCATTATACTTTCAATTTCTTTTCTTTTTTTTCTCATTGGTTATATACTTTCAATTTTCCTCTTCCCCTATTTGTTACTTTTCTCCAACATTTTCAGTTACTACTTTCATTCTCGGTCCAATTTTCTCTTCTTTATTGTTAACTCTTTCAATTGGTTCTCTCTCCAACCCGTCAATTCATCTCCTTCTTTCGATCAAGTACTATAATCTTCCTTCTTCTTTCATTCATCTCCACCTGCAAAACCCCTATTCTTCCTCTCTGTCCACTCATCCCCATTTGCCAGAATTCTTGGTAATTAGCATGAATTGTAGATTATGATAATGAATGGAGTTTTTTTTATTAGTTGTGTAGATCTTATTGATTTTTTCTTTTGTTGTCGAAAAAATTCAATTGGCATAGTATAGCAGTAGTTTGGGCTTGAAATTGTTAAGGCGGGAAGATGGGCAAATCAAATAAAAAAAGTAGTAACTACAAGTATTTTTCTTTTTGTCATCTAAAAAATGCTAAACACACCAGATATTTTTAAATATCTGCATTTGAACAAATAGCTCATTTTTTAAATGGCTCATTCCACGAGATAGTCTCTCTCAAATGGGCTTTGGGTTTTAAGAAGTTGGTCGTGGCCTTTGATCCACAAACTGCGGTGCTTCTATTCTCATTGTCACATCGAAGTTTTCACATAGTAAGATTGTCGTTTATTCGTCCAACGTAAGTGGATCAATAGCCGAAGTATAAGCCGAACTTTCTACTTGAATCAACTCTTACTATTGAGTCTACAAGGATTCAAACACAAGATCTGTGAGTGAAGGGAGCGGATCAGGTCAGTAACCTTAAAACGAGATAGTCTCTCTCAAATGGGCTTTGGGTTTTAAGAAGTTGGCCGTGGACTTTGATCCACAAACTGCGGTGCTTCTATTCTCATTGTCACATCGAAGTTTTCACATAATAAGATTGTCGTTTATTCGTCCAACGTAAGTGGATCAATAGCCGAAGTATAAGCCGAACTTTCTACTTGAATCAACTCTTACTATTGAGTCTACAAGGATTCAAACACAATATCTGTGAGTGAAATGAGCGGATCAGGTCAGTAACCTTAAAGCGAGATAGTCTCTCTCAAATGGGCTTTGGGTTTTAAGAAGTTGGCCGTGGACTTTGATCCACAAACTGCGGTGCTTCTATTCTCATTGTCACATCGAAGTTTTCACATAATAAGATTTTCGTTTATTCGTCCAACGTAAGTGGACCAGTAGCCGAAGTATAGGCCGAACTTTCTTCTTGAATCAACTCTTACTATTGAGTCTACAAGGATTAAAACACAAGATCTGTGAGTGAAGGGAGCGGATCAGGTCAGTAACCTTATGGTGAGTAATCATGTGTAAATCGTCCAAATCAGCATGACATCAGCATCCTTCTCTCTCCTGGAAAGAATTTTATCTTTTCCCTTTTAATCTTTAACAGACGATTTCTCTCTCGTTTTAAGTCAAAATTTATTTATTTTTTTGCGCAGATAAATCATATTAAATGTGCTCTTTAATATGATATTCACTTTGATATATTTTTAATACAAAAATAAATTGAGTCATTTTTTACCAGTCATTACCATATGGTATGCTCTTATTTAATACCATATGGTAAGAAAGCGTACCATGATTATATGAACATACCAATATGGTAAGAAGTTTGAATACATGATAGTAGTAGTATACTATCTGTCATTTATGACTTTCATAATTGTTTACTACAAGTTACCACCCACATACCATAGTGATAAAGTATGGTAATTTTTTGTCTAGTATTTTTTTCACTCAGAAATTTGTAGATCTAATAGTTCATGATGAACTTGTTCCTTCAAAGCAAACGTTTTTAAAAATGACTTAAAACGAATAACTTACCATATAGTATGTAGTTGGTAATAGGTCAAGATTTAATTACTAATAGGTCAATAACCAATGGTTACTAACCCTATTCTAAGTCGTGAGTGAAGGCACTAATAGCAAGTTAAATTCGTTGTATAATCTGTTGTAAATGTGTCAAACAACTAACTATTATAACGAACCTAAGAATAAGTAACCTATTAAGGAATCGTGAAACTCAAACTTATCAGTGAATAGAAGACTAACCATAAATGTACAACAGCAAATTGTAAACTTGGAGGAGAAGCATAGTCAGATGGATAATCCACCTTCATAAACAGAGAAGCAGAATCAGTACACTTTGCAGGTGCGCGCTGTGGGGATGCGAATTGGATTTGTGTGAGAACTACGGATCTAGGCGTGCGATTTAGGGATTGAACGGATTAGGGATTGGGAATTTAGGTGAGAAAGAATTGGGAGTTGGATGAGAGAGAAGACAGAGTCGGGTTCCCGGGAGGGAGCCGCCGGCGGTGAAGAGAGGGAAGGGAGGTTCGGCTAGATGAGATAGAGAGAGAGAGAGAGTTTGGGAACAATTCTGTGTTATTGCTTACCCTTCTCCTAACATAACATGACATATATATATAAATCGACTAATTCCTGTTTGCTACCCGAATAATTAACCTAACCGAATAAACCCCCATAATTCCCACCCTAGTACGATATCCGAATAATACGCAAATAACAAATAAACCCCAATAATTATGTTTCTCACAATCCATCCTCTTAAAACCCACCTTGCCCTCAAGGTCGCACATCTTTCTTGTCGTCCTCCTTCATTTCGCCTCCTTCCGCTCCCAGCTCCAGTTCCTCTCCTTCGTCTTCCCAATTCCCGACCAGCAGCATTAAGTGTCCCTTAGCGCATTGGTGTCCCACGATATACCTCTCATCACAATTGAAACAACGAACGTCCCTGCGCTTCTGATCCATTTCCACCTGAGTCAGTCTCACGAATCCGCGCGGCGGCGGCCTAGCCGGGAATCGAGTTCCTGAGGAAGCCCCCACGACTGGCGGGCTCGACGTCACCGCCTAAGGTGACACTGCCCCAGCCCCAACCCCGCTACTCGCTCCTCCACTGGCCTTCTGCATCCTGCCCACGGACGATCTCCAGCTGGCTAGCTCCTCCTTCCCACCTGCAAGTCTAAAAGCCACACGAAGAGAATCAGGTTCAAAGACCTTGACTGTCGTGGCCAGCTCTGGACGCAGTCCAGCCATGCACAGCCCCACCAATGTCTCCTCAGTCATCTCCTTGCATTGGTTCCCAAGCTTTAGGAACTCAGCCCGGTACTCGGCCATGGACCCTGTCTGACGGTTGCATTGGGCGACCCGACCCATAGTGTCGGTATTCGGGGTCCATATTCCGTCTCCCCGAGTAGGCCTAGTTGGCCATCTCCCGCTGATAGTCTTCCTCTCCGCTAGGCTTCGTCCCAGAGCCCTGCCCCGCTTCCATCCTGCGACCTCTACGCCCATGATCCGCTCGCGGAGTGCCCCATGGCGGATAGCCCGACTCGGGGCCTGATCGCTCGCGCCCGAGCCCACTACCGGACCCGCTCCAGCTGCTGCCCCGTAGGAACCATCCCTGTTCGGGTCGATTCGGCCCGGTTCAACTTGGTTCGGTTCGACCCGGTTCGGTTCGACCAATCTCGGTTCGACTGGCGCTAGTCTGACCGGTCATTGACCCGACCGGTCGCCCGGTTTGGTCCGCCCTTGGGTCAGCCACCCAGCTCTGGTCAGGCACATCGGGCCCAGGGTCCATCCACCAATCTTTTTGGTCCGCGAAGCCCAACTCATCATCGTTTAGGCCCAACTCTTCAAACTCGACCACTTTCTTATTCCCACGGGCCTCCGCGATCTCCTGGGCCGTTGGAACAGGCAGCAGACCCGGTCCACTGAAGGTTGGCGCGGCCTGCTCCTCTCCGCCGTCGCCCGTTCCCCCGGCCGATCTCGGCCCCATAGCCCGGCCCTCCTAGCGGGTTGGTGATCGCCGCCCCGGCCGCGCCGCCTGTTGCGCTCCCCTGCTCCGCGACCACCCTGTCGGTTGCCGCCCTCGGCGACCTGGGCACCGCCGCTGCTGCGGCCCCGCTCGAACCGTCTGCCCCGCCGCCCGTCGCGCCACCCTGCGCCATGACCTCCCCGACGGCCGCCGCCGCTTCAGCCGCGCTCGCGCCGTTTGCCTCCGTCGGCGGAGCTTCTGGCACCGACTCCTTGCTCTTCAGGACGCCGACCAGCACCTCCCTCATGGTTTCTGCGAGGGCTCGGCAGAGGTTCTCCGTCACGGACTTGCCCATCTCCTCGATGGAGATGGTGATTCGGCCTCCCAGTGCCTCTATGGCCCCGGTCGAGTCCCGCGAGGCAGCAGCTAGTCTTTCCGTGGACTCCGTTAGGCTTTCCAGCGCCGTGACGATCACGTCATACTTATTCGTCATGATGTCCTTCACGGTCACGATCTCCTTGCCATGCTTCTGCTGCTGCTGCTTGTCCATGTTCGACATCCTCAACTTCTGCAGGGTTCAATAAATCAGCACGCCAGCCAGGCTCTGATACCACTGTGAGAACTACGGATCTAGGCGTGCGATTTAGGGATTGAATGGATTAGGGATTGGGAATTTAGGTGAGAAAGAATTGGGAATTGGATGAGAGAGAAGACAAAGTCGGGTTACCGGGAGGGAGCCACCGACGATGAAGAGAGGGAAGGGAGGTTCGGCTAGGTGAGATAGAGAGAGAGTTTTGGAACAATTCTGTGTTATTGCTTACCCTTCTCCTAACATAACATAACATGACATATATATATAAATCGACTAATTCATGTTTGCTACCCGAATAATTGACCTAACCGAATACACCCCCATAATTCCTACCCTAACACAATATCCGAATAATACGCAAATAACAAATAAACTCCAATAATTATGTTTCTCACAATTTGGGGCTAGAACTTGACAACACGAACCTTTGTGACAACATAACGCACATATCTTGTGGAACCATTTGTTCTGTTGGGATACCTGCACGAGATAGAAAGCGATTCATCAGAGGGTCATCGGAAATTCAACGGGCCATGTATTTTTCAGAGGAAAGAGTGAGTTTTACCAGAAGGAGACGTGCCAATAAGTTGGTCTGTGTACACAACTGCAGATATAGCTCGTCCACCAGACTCTTGGCATCAGTGACAGCTTTGCTATCCATGTAATTTGCTGAGCCCTGCTACATCGACTGGATGCATCTGCAAAACGTCATTCCTTTCATCGCCTGCTTCTGCTGCTTCTGCAAAACTTCGACTAGTAGAAAGTTGAGGAAAAATGGTTTCAAGGATTCCTCAGTTATGGAACAAAGAGAAGATAGGCATAATTATAATAACAACAACAACAACAATATTAATAATAATCAGAAATATGAATTGTGCTCACTGCAGTAACTCTGATTTCTGGAGAATCGAAAAGTCATGATACTTAGAATGGAGAATATATAGTCCTCCCTCATCTAAGTACGCGCCTAAAAGTTCCTGCGTATCTAACCACCATGAACTTACTTGCAAGATCAGAAGCTTCTCTTCACATTAGATCTAATTTCAAGGACTGCTCAGGTAGCGAGAAGTACAATGTGAGTAAAAGCATCAAATAACTGATACATCAGCACAAAAAAGGCCTCCAGTGTACTCTTTGCACCTTCTCTGATAGTATATAAGATATTGCCCTGAACCAGCTTCCAGTTGCAGCTTTTTATTGTAGAAGTATGAACTTTTACCCAAACAGGACACTATAAAGAGACTCTTTACTGAGCTGAATTGAGATTGAAATGCTTTATCTATTACCACTGATGGGCCGAATCTCTGAACCAACATGTACTTCTCATGCTTCAAGTATTGAAAATTAACTATGCATTGTATACTATCTGCAATTACATGCAATCACAAAGTTGAATAGAAACCAAACTATCATCGAGCTCCCCCTCCCCACGCCGTGGCCAAGAAGAAGAATACACCATATAGATCATAATTAACTAGTACCTTAATCATCCTTAAGTAAACAAGAATATTTGTAATACCTGTGATGAAACAGCTGCTGACAAAATTGATCTTGCAGCAAATCTGGAGGGCATTGTTGAAGTGCTTAGGATTGGCTGTAAGACACTTAAAGGCTTCTCTCAGAAGAAACACTTTCACTTGACTCCCGCCAATTGCTCTTATGTAGAGTTAACCGAAAGGTCTTCAAATGCACAAGTCCTGGATTGGGATATCAACTAGTGTTTACTACACAAAGAAGCAGAAGGCCTTTGAATACAGCACCGCCTCCATTAAAATCCCAGAAGTTAATGATAAGTAGATGCCAATAACTCTTCCTATTGCCAATATTATCTTCTTCATACTAGATACAGGTCAGAAACTCGTAAACACATCAGAAAATCGAGCCATAATCAAACATTTATCTCATTTCACCCAAGAACCAAGTAAATTTTCGCTTCAACCCCTCGAACATAGCACTTGCAAAGGAGCAGGCATTTTAGACACTACGAAATGACCAAATGGAGCAAAAGAAAACAGAAACCAAATCTGAATCCTGGGAAATGAACAAAGAGATAAGACCTATTTGTACAGCTGAAGGAGAAAAGGAACCAAGACCAGAATCAAAATTCTATCCCCAGAACCTCCATTAGCAAGTCCATCTGGCCTCGTGCCTTCTTATCTTTGCTAGAACAAGTGGCTTCATCTTCCCCTGGACCTTCTTCCTCTACTCTTGGTCGCTTCCCTGCCTTGGGCGAGGCCTCGGATACTTGGTCCACTTTCTTTAACAGTCTACCACCCACCCTCTTCTTCTTCTTCTGCTCTTTCTTCCCACCATCACTCCGCTCATTCCCTTCAACAGAAGCAGCTTTCTCCTTATTCTTCTGCTCATTTAGTTCTCTGTGGTCACTCTTCTTGGCCTTATCAAAGTCATCACCACCCTTGCATTGGGGACTCTTTTCCCCATCATTCTTTGCCTGAGCAGGAGCAGCCTTTCCCTTCTTCTGCTCATCCGTTTCTCCATCAATTCTCTTTGGATTTTCATAACCCTGTCCATTCTCCATACCGGTTTTTGCCACAGAACCAGCAGCAGCAGCTTTCTCCTGCTTCTGAACATCCACCTCTCGATCACTCTCCTTCGCCTGCTGACTTCCATCCCTCCCCGTCGCTTGGTCACTCTTTTCCGCAAGAATCTGTTCCTTCCGCCCATCATCTTTGGGCAGCTGATTAGTTTCTACAGAGCTATTTACATCTAAATTCCTAACACCCAGCGAATTGGACCTCTCGGGAACATCTTCAAGCTGCAGAGGAGCAGGAGGAAGCGGAAGCAAGGGCGTGGAGGGAACGGGAACAGCCCTGTTATTCTTCAGCCGGCAGATCACATACTCGGTGTTGCTCAAACTGAACTCGTGCATAATCCACTGCCCGTTCTGGTCCGACTTGAGGTTCCTGTAATTGAAACGCTTCTTGAACCCTGTGAGGTAAACATTCTTGCCCTCGGCCTCGGACCAGCAATTGATCTTCGAGCCGGCATCCTCGCCGTGCCAGGTCCCTTCGTTCTTCCCCACCCGCCGGAGAATCCTCTTCCCGTTCGTACTCTTGGACTTGAGCCGAGTGAAGAAGTAGAGGTTCTGCTCCATATCCACCACCGTCTCGGCCTTGAACCTATCCCATATCTGCCACGGCTCCTCCTCCCCGTACAAATCGCACTCCTTCACAATCTCCGTCTGGAACATGGTCAGCCCGCCGGTGATCTTGCGGTGGAGGTAGTGGGCTATCAGCTCTTGATCGGTCGGGCAGAATTTCATCCCGGCGGGCATGAGCTCTTTTGCAAATTCAACCAAATTGCTGGGAGGATTCATCGCCGTCCTATAAAAGAACAAAAATAGATAAAAGAACAGAGAAAAGAAGCAAAGCAACCCTTGACTTTCCGGCAAGTATTAACAGTCTGATGGCTGAGGAATATGAAAGAAATCAGATTCTCTCCGGATTGTTTATCAATGGAGTCAGAGATGGCGGAAAAGAAACGGCTAGGGTTTTGCACTGGGGGCTGGGAATCCTAGTCCTTGAAGGAAAAGGCCTCGAGTTTTTTGGAGAGGAAAAAAAAAATTGTGAAGGTTTCGTAATTCGTGCGTGTCCTTCTTTTCCTCCGACAAATGTGTTAATAGGTCACAATATTTCCTTACGATATGCAACAAGGACCAGCCTCCAGAAAATATACAATACGGTCCTCAATTTCTCTTTTATAAAGCAAACAATCGAGTTAATACACTTTTCGATAAGTTTAGATATGAAAGAGCATGGTTTATGATTTTTTTAGCTTCTTCTTCACATATTTTTTATAGGGTTCAAGAATGCTTAATTCTATATATAGTTGCGTCTAGGCGCTAGGTAGGTAGCGACAAAATATTTCGCATATATGCTGTAGGAAGATAATTACACGTTCATAATACTTAGGCAGAGTTAGGCATGATTCATCAAGAAGCTTGATTAAGAAAAGAGAGACGCGTTTAAGCGAGATGGGGGACCAAGGATTTAAAAAAAAAATTGCATTGATAACTAGTGAGCAAGTTTATGAACTTCATAGGAGTGCAAGAATGAGAGAGCTCCATGATGAACAATTCGAGTCTCACGAGAAGGAAGAAGAGGAGGATGGGAAGGAGAATCCTTTTGATGATGTTGAAGATGAAATGGTGGTTGGACAGACATATTTTCATGATGATGATGAATGAACTTGTTTTTATGTGTTTGTAGTTTCTATGAACTTGTTGTTTCAAGAACTTGTATTTCTATCAGGAAAAAAAATCGCATGAGAGGAGCTCTGCCTTCTCTCTTCCTTCTCGCCGCTGCGGTGGGGAGGTGGATTTTTGCGTTTTGCGGTGACCATCCTTGAGGCCAGTCTGAGAAATCAGGGGTGCTCTTCGTCGGAAGGATCGCTAGAGGTGTATGCCTCGGGAGGGAGCAGCTGCCGACATTCCAGATTTGGCGACGACTCAATCAAGTGCAGGCTATGGGGAACAAACCCAGTATCGGCGGTCTCCTTATCGAAGGGCGACCTGGAGGCAATTGGTTGGCGGCGAGCGAAAAGAAACCGCCTTAAGAAGAGATCGAGCCAATTGGCTTTTGGTGAAGCGAAAGCTGGTGAAGAACGACCAGTCAAGCGGGGCAGATTAAGGCCTCAGAGTCTCTGGAGATTCAGTCCCCCCCCCCCCCCCCCCCTCATCGGAATTGGATGAAGATGAGGGTGATTTCCCCCTGTTCGCGGGGTGCAGGGCTCAGCCCTCTCGGGTACCAAAAAGGACCCTTTCTCCAAGTAATCGTCTGGATAATCCCTTAGGGGATGGGATGTTTCCCCTGGCGCCATTGACGGCGCTAGAATTAATAATCAAACCTTTTGTAGCGATGGATTCCACCCGCCCAAGAAAATTAGAGGACTGGGTAAATTGGGGTTCATTGAAGATTCCCCTCGGGGAGGAAATCAGTGGCATAAAGAGGGGCTGGGATAGTGATGATTTCAAATTCCTGCGTCCGAAGCCCACTGTCACCGGAGACGATAAGAAATTACAACCGGCCAGGGGAGATTCCCGCCGGCAATGTGAACAGACGCGGTTTGCCACGATGGGGTCGGAGTTTGTTTTGGGCGGATTTCATGGGCGGTTGGGCGGATTTCTTGGGAAACGATTCCGAATTGGGGGAAGGATACCCTCGACCCAACAGAGAAATCCTACTCCTTTCCCAACTCTAACTGCCAACAGATATCTGGGATTCTCCCTTTTCGTAGCGAAGAAGGATTCGACCCTCTATAAAACGGCTGCTGCCCTCGCCCCAATTCCTGGACTTTGTGACCGACGCAGAGAAGCTTCCAGCGCCGATAACAGAGAGCTTTCCAGGGCCGATAGCAACTTTGGAGACCCCTCTCTTCACGCGAATCAAGCAAGTACGGGGGATTTTCCTCCTTCTTCCTCTTGCTTCTCTCCGAATCCAGGGTTCTATGTTGGTGCGACTGTCAGCTTTCCTTGGACGGGTAATCTGCTGCCTTTGTTGGTGAAGCAGGACGGTGTTCCCCTGGGCCTGGAGAATTTCGATCGGCCCGGCAGTTCGCTGCTGGTAAGCAGACCGGATGGTAGCCTGACCGCCAGCCCATCGACCAGTAGACTTGCCCCCCGGGCTTGTTCTCCACGGCCGGCCGAGGCGGAAGTCTCAACCAGCGGGTTCCCGACAGCTTTGGCTGTTCGCATTAACCTAGGGGCGGTGGATGTTGGGGTTTTTGGGCCGAAAGTGGCCATGCCCATAACACGGCAAAGTTTGTTTAGCAATGCTGCTTTTACTTCGGTTGAGTTTATTGATTCTAATACGTCGGGTTCTAATTTGTGTCAGGTGCCCACGATGGCTCGTATTGGGGAGGATCAAATAGTGGAATTCTCTCTCGATGAGGTCCAATCGGTAAAGTTTCGAACATCACGGACGTTGCTGGGAAGATTATTCTCGGAGAACAAATTTACTCCTAGTGAGTTGCGTGAGGGCTTGATCGAGGCCTGGCGGGTGCAAAGAAACCTTAGGGTTTCAGTCACTAAATATGGACTATTTGAAATTGTTCTGCCTAGTGAGGAGACGAGGGTCTGGATCCTCAAACGTTCTCCTTGGATTGTCAAAGACAGAATTTTACATCTTCGGTCTTGGACTGCAGCTATCACGAGGCCAGTTTTTGATGATCTGGCCACTGCTCCCTTCCGTGTTCAAATATGGAATGTGAAAGAGGATTGTTGCACCAAACAGTTTAGTAGGAAAATTGCTGCGGGGACAATCGGCCAAGTCTTGGAGGCTGATGTTTTTGCATCCAGAGAAACAGAGGAATGCTTTGTGAAAGTTCACGTCCTCATCAATTTCACTAAACCGTTGCGGTCACAACTTATGGCGGCTAGTCAAGAGCTGGGCAAATTCTGGGTTAACTTCAAATATGAATTTCTGCCGACTTTCTGCTACCTCTGTGGCCGGGTGGGGCATTCCAAGCCAGATTGTGTGTTTGATCCTCCGCCTGGTCAAGAACGCTTCGGCCCACATATGTCGACAAGGAAGCTAGGAAGGAAGATCTATATTGATGAGGAGGAGCTGCCAAAACCTCGCCATACCAGTAAATCAGTGTGGGTTAACAGGAATGTTCAAGTGCAGAAGGAAGGGTATGCAAGGAATGCTAGACCTCGTGAGATACGACCAGTGTCTATTGATCGCTCTATTGATCAGACTGCTCGTCAGCAGGAGGACCATGGTTGTATGGAGCCGCAACCGCGGGTGCAGGAGGCTAAGCCTAAGCTTGTAGGTATTCGTGCTAGCCCTAAAAGGGTTGTCGTCAAGGCATCACCTCGAGTCAAGATTGGTGGTGGGGTTCGCCTGCACTAAAAGAAAGTGGCGCCCAGAGAGAATGCGCCTTTACCCCGGAAGGGCTCCAAGGGTCGTCAACAGATGGGTAGGCAGGCTAGAAAGGTGGGCAATCGCCAGCAGACGGAGGATTAGGTTGAGGAGGTTTTTGAAGAAACTCGGAGGAGAAGGCTGATTTTGCAGGAAGAATCAGAAGAGGAGGAGGAGGCTGATGTGAAAGGTGCACAGTCTGATCAGCGGGTTCGCCCACGATTGAAAAAGGGAGGGGTGGAGGTCAGGCGGGCTAAGTCAAAGAAGGATGGGGGTGCGTCTCAGTATGGTGATCCGCAGGAGTTGGAGGATGAGGAGGTTGAGGTCTCTCGGGATGATGAGGGTCGGCAGCTGACCATGGAATCGGATGATGATCAATCGAATGATGAACAGCTTCCGTTTGAGATTAAGAGAAGATCACTAGGTGGGGCGTCCAAGGAGACTCGTCGAATCTTGTCTGGGCGAGTCCACCAAGTGGTTGAGGCATTTGAAGCTGGGTTGGTCTTTGCTCAAGAAGAGGATATCCCTATCACGGGGACTCGCTCGACGCTCAATGAATATGGGTCTAATCTCATGGACCCAGCGGTGGAGACCCGGAAGTGTGCAATTGATGATTTGGAAGGGGAGGTGGGTGATCCTCCTACCCCAAAGAAGCAATTTGTGGAAACAACCGATCTTCTGGAGAAGGTGGAGGAAGCCAGCCTCGAGTGGCCCCCAGTTGATGAATGAGGCTTCTGGCCTGGAATGTGAGAGGCATTGGGCCATCCCTCACTTTCCAAACTGCTGTAGGATTGGTTCATTCTAATAAACCAGATCTCGTATTTTTTTCGGAAACGCGATCGAACCGGCGTGTAGTGTCTCGTCGTATGCGGGGTTTAGGTTTCCCGCTTTCGCATTGTTTTTTTGTAGATGCAGTCGATGCATCGGGAGGGTTAGTAGTTGCTTGGGCCCCCGGGGTTGACGCTTCGGTGCTTTGTCATTCTAGTTTCTATGTTTGTTCGCAAATTAATGAAGGAGATTTTTCTTATGTTGTGATTTTTGTTTACATTAGTTGTAATGTTGCTGTTCGAGCTACCCAATTGGCTCACTTGCGTAATATGTGTGCAAATATCAATCACCCGTATGTGATCATAGGCGATTTCAATGCTACACTGCACGAGAGTGAAAAGGATGGGGGCGGGAGTGGAATGCGACCCAAGCTTTTAGTCTCCGCGAATTTGTTCATGATTTAGGTCTACATGACCCTGGTTATCAAGGAGACCTATTCACATGGACAAATAAGCGCATGGGAAATGCTTGCATTCGGGCACGGCTGGATAGAGCGGTTTGCTCTCAATCTTGGATAGATACTTACCCGGAGACTCCAGTCAAACACTTCACGGATCAGGGATCGGACCATCGTGCCCTACTCCTTGCTGATAAACCATATGTTCGTACTAGTCGGCCTCTTTTCCGGTTTGATGCCCGTTGGGCGGATAATCCGGAGGTGAGGGCCATGGTCAACTATGTCTGGCAGGAAGACGTCCAAGGCACCCCTATGTTTCGACTTTGGGAACGCCTAAAGAGGCTTCGGCATCTACTCTATGATTGGAGTAGGGCGGGCACTACTAATTCCCTCCGTAATATCAAGACGCTTCAGGCGGAGATTGATAGGGTAAAATTGAGTCATCCAGTGGATTGGGAAACGGTTAGGACCCTGGAAACGGAGCTCTCCCGGCAGTGGGAAGCGGAGGAAGTTTTCTGGCAACAAAAGTCCAGGGTTAAATGGTTAAAAAAAGGGGATCAAAACTCGGCCTACTTCCATACGGTCACCAGGGCTCGGCGGAAGAAGAATTTCGTTTCTGGGCTTCCGAATGAGGAGGGTGAATGGGTCACTGAGGAAACCGCAAAGGCTTCTATTGCCACCAATTTTTACCAGAACTTGTTTACTTCGGAAACTCAGGTTCCTAATATGATTGAGAGGGTGGCGACTCTGCCGATTGACCATCGTGTTACTCCGCAAATGAATGCTCAGTTGACGGCGGAGGTTTTGCCTAGTGAGGTCCGGAGTACGGTGTTTTCCATGGGTTCGAAGCAGGCCCCGGGATCGGATGGCTTCACTGGGAAGTTCTTTAAAGCTTTCTGGGATATTGTGGGCATTTCAGTGGTTGAGGCAGTAGTGTCCTTCTTTAATTCAAGTCGGATGCTGCGGAGTTTTAATCATACCTGGCTCACGTTAATCCCTAAAGTGGACTCGGTGGAAACAATTAGACAATTGCGGCAGATTAGTCTGTGCCAATTTGTCTACAAAGTAATTACCAAGATAATGGCTGAGCGGCTGGCTAGCATGCTCCCTCAGATTGTTTCGGAGGGACAAAATGGTTTCATCAGGGACCGGCAGATCATTGATAACATCCTTATTGGACATGAACTAATGCACTATTTGAAAATAAAAAGGCAAGGGAAGAAAGGGTACATGGCTCTGAAGGTTGATATGGAAAAGGCCTATGATAGAGTCGACTGGCCCTTCCTGCTTGCTGTTTTGGAGAAAATGGGTTTTAGTTCTGTCTGGCGAGGATGGATTCATGAGTGTCTTCGTTCCTCCTCTTTCTCGGTACTAATGAATGGTTCTCCCTCGGGGTATTTCACGGCTTCTAGGGGCCTTCGTCAGGGGGATCCTTTATCCCCTCTTTTGTTTGTGCTCTGCACTGAGGGGTTTGCAGCCCTCCTTCGAAAGGCGATCACAGAGAAAAAGTTAGAGGGGGTGAAAGTTGCTCCTAGTGCTCCAA